CACTGAGCATGGGGCTTCAGAATTCTTCCATTAATTCATTTTCCTCCTCAGTGACCCTCATACTCTCAGCCTCCTTTTCTCTTTGCCCAACCTCCAAATGTACTTGGGGACCCAAGTCATAAAACACAGAGTCAGCCATACCCCTGGAGCTCAGCCTAGGCATCCTGGGAAATGTTAGTGGACTCCTCAGTGTCCCCTGACCAGGGCCTCTTGCTGTCCTCCATGGGGACGTGGAAGTGGACACAGGGAGTCTGGGTTGGACTGAACAGACAACAGGCCATGTGCATGTAGACTGACCTTGCTGGGCCCCGTCTGTCCTGGGGTTTCCTCCATCACGATGGCTCTGGAGTCCTGCGGATGTCCCATCTGGGATGGAGTCCGGGTCCCTGTGGCTCTGTCATGAGCACTGTCACTGTGTAAGCACATCGTGGGCACGAGGGGCTGGGCCCAGGTGATCTCACAGCAATCTGACTGAGCTCCCTGCATCCCGGACGCCCTCACCTGCTCATACAGGTCCTTGTTTTTTCTCCAATACATCCTGATCAGAGAAGAGCAAGCTTCACTTACTGAACAAGAACATGTGTGTGAACTCTACAGGCTTTAGGAAGAAGACTTGGGAATTCTGAGGCTTTCCCCGGACAGTTTTTGTGGATAATCAGACCAAGTATTCACTTGTTTAGGAAGCATCCATTCTGTGTCCATGTGGACACAGATGTGTGCAGGAAGCAAGATAATCTCCACTTTGTGGGGGAAGGAAAGAGAGTCAGGAGTAGAAAAACTGTGGAAATGCGGGAATGTGTGACACTGTTCAAATGGAAATGTCCTCATCACCTGACTTTGGTAACTGAAACCCCTCTGTATATGAGCTTTTCAATAACATTGTAAATATTAAAGAAAATTGAACATCAAAGATCCTGTAGTCCAGCAATTCCACTCCTGGGAATTTATCCAGAAGATTACAAACCAGGATGCTTTAGAGTCACCAGCTTAAGGTATAGAATCAGCCCAGATGCACGTCCCCACCTCAGTGTGTATGTGTCTGTGTCTGTGTGTCTGTGTGTGGGGGGGTTGACATAAGTTCTCCATATGTGACCATTACATATTTGTTGAAAGACAGAGCCTCCCTAGACCCAGCCATAGCCCTCCTGGGCACCGACCCTGACATCAGGAGCCAGGATATGAGGACAGCTGCCCGTCCATGTCCATTGACACGCTAATCACAATAGCCAAGATGTGGAAACCGCCCAGATGCCCAAATGAAGGAGTGGATCCAAAGCTGTGGTACCTACACACAAAGGCATTTTACACAGCCATTAGAAAGAACAAAGTTATCATCTGCAGTGAGATGGATGGACCTAGAACAAACTGTGTGATGAGGTAAGCCAAGCTGAGAGAGACAAATGGCCCACGTTCTTCTGATATGTGGGAATTAGATCTAAACTACAGGGGGATGTGATAACTGACATGGGACATGATTGTCCCTATGTGACCATTCCATACTTGCTGACGAATGATATCCTCTAGACAATCGAGGGCCAGGTATTTATTCCAGTCTATCTTATCAACCTATCTTTTTCCTTCTCTTTCTAGAACTTCAAAGGTGAGCTGAGCACCAGTGGCTCATGCCTTGTAATGCTGGCAGCTCAGAAGGCTGAGACCTGAGGATCATGGTTCAAAGCCAACCTGGGCAGGAAAGTCCTGTGAGACTCTTATGTCCAGTTGACCACTCAAAAACTGAAAGTGGCACTGTGGTTCAAAGGAGTTGAGAGCTAGCCTTTAGCAAAGAGAGCCCCAGAACATCACCCAGGCCCTGAGTTCAAACCCACGACTGACAAAGAAGAAAAAATAGGAGAGAAAAACTCAAGCTGCTTTCTTTAGTAAACTTATATTTACTATCTTTTAAGTAGTACAAAGAAGTGATTCCTCAGCCGATCAGTTCATACGAACAATCCTCCTTGAGCAAAGTGACCCTTTCATCATTCTCCTCAGCCTCCGGACCACTCCCCTCCCCTCATTTGTTTAGTTTCCTCAGCGATGCATTGATATCATGGCTGCTTTCTCACCCCTCCCCTTCCCCTCCAACACCTTTCCAGAGCTAGTGCCTGGTATTCATCTTGGAGTGTCAGCTAGTATTCTAAGGAATTACACCATTTGCATTGCAGACACCAGTCAGGTAACACATCTGTGTGCACTTGTACACAATCCTGTTTGTGTTCACGGACACATGTATGGATTAGATCGGGCTTCCACACAGGAGGGAGAACTTGCATCCTTGTCTCTATGGGCTGACTTACCTCACTTAAGCTAACTTTTGCCAGGCCTGTGCATTTCTTTGCGAATGAGGTAAAATCATTCTTTCTAGTGGATGAGTAATTCCATGGTGCTCCTATACCACTCCGTCCATTCGTCCATTGAGGGGCACTGGGGCTGTTCCGGGCCTTGGCTCAGTTCCTTGCTCTCTGCAGTGCTGGTCACTTCCACTCTGCCTGCCTGGAGGCTGCTGAAGTCTAGCTTTGCTGGGAGTCACTGCTGGTGTGCTGTCATTACGTCAGCACTAGAGGGCAGTGCAAGCCCAGATTTGTTCAGAATGAACCAGGAAGTCAACTAGAAAGTACTTTATCTTCTCAGGCCTGTGCTTGGGGCTGGGGGAGGTGCAGGTGTACAATACAACACACACCCACTTTGGCAGTTAATGGAGATGTTAGTGCCATGGACTTTCCTACCCGGGGCTGGCTTCAAACCATGATCCTCACAAATCAGCTTCCCAGGGAGCTGGGATTATAGTCATAAGCCACAGTACCAGATGATTTTAATTCCTTTTTATTGGAAGAGAGTTTGAAATATTCTTTAGTGTAACAGTGGAGCAATAGTCCAGGGCTTGTCAGGATATGTTTACGTTTAAATTGGACATGAATGGTTTATGTTTTATTTTTATGTTTGCTTACAGAAATAAGTGCACATTTCAGGTGATTATGTATTTGTAGAACACCAAATATGAAGATATTTTGTTCCCCAGCAGTTAGTGCATGCAGTTTTTAATATAAGTTTACTGTCATTATTAAGGTGTTGTCCAGAACAGTTACAATTTCCTAACTCTGGTAATGAGTAGATTCTTTTGGACAATATTATCCAGTACATGAAGTTTTACCTGTGGATAGACTTAAATGAGCGAGAGAGCTGGAATTCTAGGGTGTAGAGACAAAAGCTAACCAGCTGCCTTTTCTACTTCTTCACTGAAAATACTAAAATTGGGATTTCTACTTGGATGAACTCACAGACCAGTCCTTCACTTTTTCTACCTCCCCTTACATTTGAGATAATTTTAATAGTTTTCCTCCTGCTCTTCTTCCCATCCTCAAATCCTTATTATGTTTCCTTCTCTTCTCTCTTCTTCTCCACCTCTGCTTCCTACTGCTCCTCCTTCTTCCTCTCTGTCTGCTTTCTTACACATCACATTTCATAGGAATCCTGTCTACCTGAGTGACATTCACTCTGCTTCCATGGATCTTCACATCACTATCAGAATTAGCATCTCCTGTGAGGGCTCTGCCCCAGCCTCTTAGCTAATGAGCAGTGACGCCCTCGTTGCTTTTCCCGGTGTCCCTGAGCAGCAGGATCCCGTGGATAACAGCAGAGTGGACAGAGCACAGGTGTGAGCCTGCATCCTGCTGAGCAGAGTGCCTTCCTACAGTAGCCTTGGTGATGCGAGTCTCCAGCTGTCACAGTCTTGTGAACAGAGGTCTGTCTTCCTCCACATGGGCACCGTGCTGGGCCAGCAGCTGCCCAGACTCTGCCTTTGCCTTGAACCTCTACAGAATGAGGAGAACACCTTGGTGGGACACCAATGAATCAGGTGGCTGCACTGGTTTCCTGAGCCCAGCGGCCGTCCAGGCCTTTCAGACATACATGGTTCATTCTGTATCACACACTTGTCCCAGGCTGAGACATGTGAGCTCAGCCCACATGACAAAAGACTTCGACCCACCATGTGAGCCCAAGTGTGGTGGTAGACCTCCCAGTTCAGAACAGCTGCACGTCAGTCAGACATATCAGGCACAACGACCCAGCATGGCCCATGGTGCTACACAGACTCCAATCTTCACCACTGCACACCACCATCAGCCATGTCAGCCCACGAGATCCACAGGAAACCTTGGGACTCCAAAGTCCAACCTCAGGCCTGCTCAGGAAGTCCTTCCTGAGGTCAGCTGCATCTTCTCTCTGTGCTTGTCAGCTGGTGAATGTGTCACTAAGGACAATAGGTTATGTTACACGGTGAGATGTTACCTCATTGACAACTGAAGATCAACCTCAGTCAGTGATGTGTCACCTGATAAAACCTCCAGGTTCAAACGTGAGATGTGATATAAAAGAACTTTTAAGTTTCTCCATGTGTCTCTCAAATAAATATGAGTGAAACACGAGAGTTTCCCAATTGCACCAAATACACAAACACACAGGTGGAGTGTTCAGCATGTCTGCTGCCTGCTGGGGAACTTGGCACATGCTCATTGTGCTTCATCTGGGGAGCTGGCCAGGTGTCCGCATGGAGCTTCCTTTTGTGAGCCCTCTTACTTGAGTAAACGTGAAGCATTGCTGGTCAAGAGCTGCAGGACATGGAGGAACCTCCCTGCCTGCCCTAGACACAGCCTCCTCCTCTGAGGACAAAATGAGCTCCATCTCTCTTGGTCTCTCCCACCCTCTCCAGATTGAACCAGGTACAGGGTCTTGGCTTTGCTGTCTGGGGACAGGACCCTGTCTTCCAGAGAGAGGCCCAGAGCCTCACTGCCTCTGAACCACAGCGTTGAACCAAAGCTGTGCTCAGAACCTGGTTCTGAGTGTCACTGGCCGTCCCCATCCAGCAGACATGGACACTGCCCAACAGTGCACCAGACCTGCCCTTCTCAGCCTCCCCCTCCTGAGCCATGAGGCCTGAGTGGAGGAGGTGGAGTCAGCACCCAGGTGAGAGGAATGCAAATGCACCCGGCCCCTCCCACGCCTGGGTTGAAAAGACCAGCACCTAGCTTGGCTGAGGACGGCTGTGGACAGGACAGCATGGACAGGCTGTGCTCTACCCTCCTGCTGCTCACTCTCCCTTCCTGTAAGTGCTCTGCTCAGGGCTCTGGGGTGGGAAGTCTCCTGTGCTCCCCTGACCCTGCTTCACCTCCTCCTGGTGTTTCTCCACAGGGGCCCTGTCCCAGATCGCCCTGAAGGAGTCTGGACCTGGGCTGCTGCCACCCTCCCAGACCCTCAGCCTCACCTGCTCCATCTCAGGATTCTCTCTGAGCACTACTGGTGTGGCTGTGAGTTGGATCCGGCAGCCCCCAGGGAAGACCCTGGAGTGGCTGGCAAATGTGTGGTGGGATGATGGTAAGTCCTACAACCCAGCCCTGAAGAGCCGGCTCTCCATCTCCAAGGACAGCTCCAACAGCCAGGTGTTCCTCACACTGGACAGCGTGGACTCTGCAGACACAGCCACCTATTACTGTGCTAGAAACCACAGAGGCACAGCCACAGGGGCCTCCTGCACAAGATCTCAGGCTGGGCCTCAGCTCTGTGCTGGCCCTGAGCATCAGGAAGGTGCAGCTGCTGCTCTTTCCTGGCAGCCTCTGGGCTTTCCTCTTCCCCTCAGGGTCTCAGGTGGTTTCCTGTTTCTTCTCTAAGTTCACATCTCAGCTTCCTTGGAAAATGTTCATGAAGAGATCCTCAGCTCTGCTTTAAAAAGAAAAGTGAAGCCTCTGATCCTAGCTATTCCGGGGTCTGACATCTGAAGCTCATGTGGGAAGCCAGCCTGTGCAGGCAAGTCTGTGCTGCTAAATCTAATGATCAAAATGGCAGTAGTGAAGCTGTGGCTCACGTGGTAGAGTGTTGCCTTCAGCAAAAGTTCATGGTCTGGGTCCAGGCCCTGGGTTCCAATCCCCAGGACAGGCACAAAAAATGCAGTCTGCAGGCTTGTGTCTGTCATGATAGAAGTTAGTTCTTGCTGACCCTGAACACAGAATTGTTCACTAATGGAAGTGTGTCAGCACACTCACTACTAGAATTCAATGAATGTCCAGGGCTCAGGGACTGGTCAGGCAAACATGATGAAACCAGGAAAACAGAGGTTTCAGGTGGAGTGTGCATGTAGCTGTCCAACATTGATGATGGAAATGTACACGTAAGACCAAGAAGAGAAACATGATGCAGACGTCATCAAATTCACACCCCAGTAGTGTAAAGCACTGCTGATCACTGGAACACAGACGCCTCTGAAGACCACACACTAGACCTCCCCAGCCCAGCCTTGAGTGGCTTTCTCCAGGTGCCTCTATTTACAGACCTCCAGAGGTTCAGCCTCACTGTTCTCACAGGCCCCGGAGGCTCTTGCAAATGCCCTGAACAGTACCGGACAGGACACAGACAGGAAGGGGACTGCTGTGCCTACAGTGCCCAGGACAGGTACCCGTAGGCCAGGCACATAAGGCTAGCTGTTCTGCTTGAAGGTAGAGATCTATTTTAGCTAGATGTTTCAAGAAACACTTTTCAACCATTTGCGGTGCGGTGTGTGTGTGTGTGTGTGTGTGTGTGTGTGTGTGTGTGTGTGTGACATCCCTACTCCTGCAGACTGAGATTGAGGAGCTCACCAGGCCAGCACAGCCAGGCCAAGCAGTTCATGAGACTCCATCTCAGAGAAAGACACTCAGTGTGCTGACAGGTGCCTATAATCCCCAGATGGAAACTTCACATACGAAGATGGAGCTCTAGGTAAGAATATGACCAAAATCACCAGACCCTTCTCAAAAATGGCACTGATACCATCAAAGGCTGGAACTCTGCCCAGTGCTAGAACACCTGCACGTCAGGCCGGAGGCCTTGAGTTGAAGAAAACATCAGTACCTGTGCTGCCCAAATGAAACATTTCCAGCCCTGTTATGTACTCACATGCACACAGTGTGAGTGGATT